TTAAGTGTGCGTGCTCCGCTGCGGCAGCCCGCGGTTCACTGGTTCGGATCCCGGGCACGCACCAATGCACCACTTGTCAAGCCATGCCGTGGTGGCGTCCCATATAAAGTGGAGGAAGATGGGCGTGGATGTTAGCCCAGGGCCAGTCTTCATCAGCAAAAAAAAAAGGGGGGGGGGATTGGCAGATGTTAGCTCAGGGCCGATCTTCCTCACACACACACACACACACACACACACACAAAGAATAAAACATGTTTAAAAACATAACTTACTTTGAAAGTGAGGAAGATTACACCATATATCCCCCAGAAAGGAAGCATTTGGAAATCTATATGTCTGAGAGGGGAAACCTCTTAAGGTATAAGCAAAAAAGCAGCAGAAATAAAGTGATATTGATGTTGACATGTGCAACATACAGAACATGAGAGACAGATCACAAAACTAACATAGGCTAGTTATAGAGGAGTCCATTTTTCAGTCACTTCCTTCAGTGCAAATGAAAATGTCTTGACCACTTTTGTTGAGAATATTTTTCAGAAGATAGAGGATGAAACTAAGCAAATTGCTACCCCAGAGTTAGTTCTGTCCAGCAAAGAAAAACTAGCAGGTAACCAGAAAGTATTGGAAATCTTCTAAAGGAAATAACTGAGGGACTTTAGAAGTAACAAAGGAAAAGAAAGGGAAGGTTGGGCGCAGGAGAATACACACTGCAGACTTATGCAAAGTAAGTTTTAGAAAAAAGTCAGATATATCATTCTATGGCCCAAGACTCTAAGAGGAAAAAATTTGGAGATGACAAAATAAAATTCTGACAATAACCATCTCCACTTATCTCTAGGCAAGGTGAAAGATAAAATGACTGATACCGTAACATCACAGGGAGTGTCTGAATGAACTCAGATTTGTTAAAGGATCTCTTTGGAAAGAGGGCATGCAATTATAAGTAAGATAAAATAATATTAGGAATTCTACAGTCCAAAATACACTAGGTTTCAGAAAAATGCTAAGAACAAAAAGAGATTTAGAAATATGTTCAGAGCAAGATAATGAAGGAAGATGTAAGTCTCCTCTTTAGAATAGTAAATTGCAAAGAGAAAGAGAAACTATGGAATTCTTACTTTGCTTTCATCTTCTCAATCAAGGAGAATAACATTTGAATAAGAAAGAGTAGAACACATTGGAAAAGGGAAATAAAAGCCTAAACAGAAGAGATTATAGTACTATCTCATTCTGGTTAGTCACTTCAGCATTATGGTCTAGTTTCCAACATTTCCTCCCAGCCGGAAATTTTATTCTGCTATTTGAAGAGTGAGAGAGATTTTCTTGAGCTCAAATTAAGGAAGGATTTATTTTCAGCAAAAAACGATATCAATCACAGTGCCTGCCTCACCTATAGCCTTTATAACTAAAAATGCGCCAGCCCCTTCTGAAGACGTAGCCCTATGTAGATCACATAACCTAGCCCTCTGGCCAAAGCTGATTAGGCCAAGGGTGTGACCTTGGCAAATTATTGCAATCCACTGGCTGAACAACGAAGTGACTTGAAGCAAAATGGATTGAGAACAACCCATCAGACTATCAAATAATATTATTTTGGAAACATGGAAAAAACCAAGCAGTTATCAATAGATGTTAAAGCTCAAAGAATTCCTATAGACAGGAGTTCGGAGGTAGAATTAAGGCCATGAGGGAGTCATGGCAAACTGAACAAATAAGGAAATATAAATATGAGTAAGCAGAGACTGTAAAGTAGAGAGAAGATATATGAACCTGAAAAAAAAGTATAAGATGTCATTAGAGACAGCAAGGATCAGCCATGGGGAGACAACGGCAACCTTGGTGGTTGAGCCTTACTGGGAATATCAGTAGACCTCTGCTGCTAAGGTGTTTAGAGAAGCATAACACATAAGTAATCATAATTGACCTACCTTAGAGGTAAGTCTCTAAACTACCACTCTGTTCTCCTAGGGCCAGAGTGTATAGCTGTCCTTGAATTCCTAAGGAATCCATGCTTTTACATCAATTCTGTCCTTCAATAAACTTTCTCATAATTGAAAAAATAGGGAAGGTAGATATGTATGATGGCTCTGGAACCAGAAAACCTGTACTGGAGACTGTTTAGGATTTAAAGAAGATTCTATAATTTCATCTCTTTAAAAGATATTTAATCCGCCCTCTGCAGAAGAGTTCACTGGTTAATAGTGTGGGCCCTGGAAATAGGTTATACCTGAATTGCAAACCTGGATTTTTCATAGACATATTGTCAACATTTTGGACACAAAAACTTCTCTTTGCTACTGTATACCTTGTCCACAGAAGAGTGCTTATCACATAGTAGGCATTCCATAAATATTTGGAAATACATGCATGCAACTGAATAAGTTGCAGAACCTATTTAAACCTGTTTCCTCATTTGTAAAATTATACTTGACTTACCTCAAAGGATTGTTGTGAAGACTAAATGAGGTAAACATTTAACACCTCGCCTGGCATGGTGAGTACTCAGAAAGTATGCTAATTGTTAATATTTTTCCTAATTTGTAAGACATTTTCAGTTAGTTTGTAATGCTGCTTTGTAAAGTGACAGTATTCTAGTATCCTTAAAATTGGGTATAAAATCTCAACATATAGTTCTACTACTTTTAACCTTTTTAACATCAATCAGGAATCATATATGTGAAATAATGGACCTTTTGGGCTTTGACTCTTTTTGACAAGTTTTCATGATCTACAAAAATTGTTTAATCCTTGTTTGAAGCAATTGAATCAAATGCGCTGTCAAAATTGAAGGCAAGTGTGTGATGTCAATATGGCCCCCCAAATCCCTCCAGTAAACCAGTAAACAAATGCCAGAGTTAGCACAAAGTAGAAAGCAAATTATGGAAATAAATGTGTTTGGCAGGTGGCAGTAGGAATTAACTATAGTAATTCTTTTTTCTTATTATATTTTTTTACCATAAACCTCTATAATTGTGCAAATGTTACATGTTTGAATATAAGAGTTCCAAGTTACAGTTGATAGAAACTTAAACATATACCCTCTGAATGTTAAAACCATTAATTACGACATTTTTATCAATAAGCTGAAACAAAATTTATGCACATTTTACATCAGGAGGCATCATTTAAATATACATTGGTGTTGCATATGATTACATTCTAGACTTTTTAGCCAGAGAGAAAACACTCAATCCATACAACCAAATGTGAAGTGCCCTTAGAAACTCTGTTGGAAATCCCCTTGCTCATGAGATTATGTTTATGAAAGGAAAGTAGTGACCTCCGTATATAGCACACATGAAATATACAAACCAACAAAGTTCTTTAACATATGTTTCCCTCCTGCTAAAAAAGAGTAAAAAATGCCAAATTAATTTAGAATAATAAAACATAAATATTCAAATCTGTTTAGACACAATCACTGTTAAAATTGCACAAAGATCCATTTAAAGTTTTCCGATGAAACTACATGATTAAACCTTATAATTTATGAATTTAGATGTTTTCATATTAATTGCAATTAATACTATATATTTATCCTCTTGGTAATTACAAATTTCCAGTTTTAAGCTTAGAGTAAGTTCAATTCCCTACTTTGGCAAAGTTAGGTGAGAAATTTGTCCACAAGGATGCAAGTTGTTAGGAAAAGATGGCAAATCGAACACAACCATCTACTTTCCCTACATCTTTACACTCCATTAAAAACAGTAAGAAAGGAATTTTTAATGGAAAAAACCAGCAACAACGGAGAAAAATGGAAATGAGAAAACAGCAATAAAACTCAAAAATCCAGAAAGCAAATAGACCCACAAATGACTTAGCCAACCCGAAAAAGATTTATTAAAAGCCTGTAGTAGGAAAAGATGAAAACTAAATCTATCTATACCATAGAATATCTCTTATATACTCCCAATTTTGTAATAATTCTAACACACCATTGCGATTATCTTTTTACTTGCCTATCTCCTCCACTGGACTGTGAGCCCCATGACATAGGGAATAGGGTTTAATTTTCTTTGTATTCTCAGTGCTTAGCCACTGCTTGCTTGACACAAAGTAGGTGCTCAAAACAGGTTATAGGACTAATGAATACCTACTCATTTTATTGTAATAAATAAATACTCATGTAATTGCTGTCTCTCACCCATTTGATGCATTCTGTAAACTATAAGCTGACTACTCTTAGATGATAGAATATACATTCTATGAGGTAGCCTTGAACCAATGGTCTCATTGAAAAAGTCTTATTTCGGAAGACTGCAATAACATTTTCGGTCAAAGCATCCCCCAGTGAAGGGTAGGCAATCAATAAATGATTGTTGATTAAAGATTGTTCATATTTTGAACGGCACATGGAACAAAAGTGAAATGACCAACAAAATGAAACAAAGAGCTAAAAACATACATTAAAGCAGAGGGAAGGTCAATAATGAGGCAGAAGTCATTAACATTGCTAAAGACTGTATTCAAACTTTTCCAGGATTTTTTTTTTTTTTTTTTTTTTGGCCAAAACAAACAAAAAAAATGAATAGCAGAGATTTTAACACACAAGACATTTCAGGGCACTAAAAAAGGAGAAGAAAATAGTTGTTTGGTAAGTTCTAGAGAAAAAATGGATCATGCCAAATGAAGTTGTTGAGATGGATAGTTATCACGATTGGATCAAGAAAAATTTGTTGATCAGAAAAACTAATTTTCTTTCAGAAAGTGGCAAGTGAATTTATGAGAACAGCTATCAGTCCATGCTGTAAAGAGATAATATTTTTTTCTCGAATAACGTAAAATATGTGGGCAAAGATTGTATTTACCACAGGGACTTGAAGCTTTTTGGTTTTTTTCATTTATTTATTTGTTTTTGCCTTACTGTTAATGAACAGGCTTTGTTAATTCTCTTATGTCAATCCTATTACTTGTTCAGAGCTATTTCTGCCAGGGTCATCAATATCGAGGGATCTTAAATCTGAGCTTAAATCTGTCCAAGCTCCAGAGGAGCTCAGTAGACAGGGATTCTCATCCATTGAGCATAATCAAGGATACCAGGCACAGAGAACCAAACTGTGAGTCCTTCTTAACAATATAATTTTAAACATTTTACCTTAGGGGAAAGAAGAACGATTTCGCTGTTTATATTTTATTGTGTGTTCTTTTAAAATATTTCAAAGTAACATTAAGTAATGATTTATCTACTATAAAGACAATTCAATAATGTGTATCTTATCCTCTTAAAGTGATTTGCCCTGGTTATTTCACTACTGTAAATTCAGGGTGAACATGCAATTTTGAGTCTGACTTTCTAGGAAGTTAAAATAAAATCATGAATAGAGAATTAATTTTGAAATTTAAAATTTTTCAGTCCTCCCTTTGAGTGAAGGGAGAACTGAAGGAAAGAAGTGATGATTCCTTGTACTTTGTATTTGAAGATTTGACTCCCAAGCTGTGAAAGGGACTATTATGTTTTGTGCTAAAGCACTCAGACCTCTGAACCAAACACTTAACCAGCTGTGTGTTCTTGGGCTTTTTTTCTGAATTTTATATTTTTTGTCTTGTTTGTTGTTTCTTTAAACTTTAAAGTGGGGATAATAACGTCTTTCAGAAGGTTACTTCAAAAATTTAATGGGACAGAAAATGATGTTTTTAAAAGAAAAGAATGCAAAGAATTTGTTGATATTTGTTAAATTAGGTAAAATTTTTCTTTCAGTAGTTTATTTTTCTTCTATTTTGCTCCCGTAGAGGTGATAATAATAATAAACCTTACAGTTTACATCATAAAAACGAATCAGGTAAAGTTTTCCCACAAAATTTTTATAAACTGCAAAAATAGCTTTTAATTATAGTATTCATTTTAAATATATATTTTTTTGACCACTGTACATGCTACTTAGAATCACCTAACATTAAAGCTAGAAAAAATTTTAGAGATCATCTAACTCATCATGGCAATTTTTGGCCAATATAATTATGTTTATAAACTGAATTTGATATTATATGTTATTGTCAAAATATATATGAATCATTCATGATAATGTCTTTAATGGAATTCAAACAATGTGTGCTGGAATAAGTGAATTTATAAGATATAGAGATATTCAAAACAAGATATCTGCTCTGAATTTCCTGCAAGATTCTGACATTTCTATTTTCTTCAGAGCAAGTCAGAGAGTATCTGTATGTAGTCAGAGCAAACCTGGATAGGTTAATATCTTTTTCTTTTATTAGGTGCAAGAATTCAGTTATAATTTGAAAGCTCATATCTTCCCAGAATATTTTTCACTGATGATACTGGTTGACAAATAGAGGACTGCTATTTGTTATGCATTCCTGACATACAAATTGTTTAAAAGGCTCTCTACATCTTCCATCTGCCAGTCTGATTTGTTGAAAAAGTAAAATTATTGGAGAAGGGTAGAAGCTGAGAAAACATTACACCTGCTCTGCAATGTCTTATATCAAAGTTTCTCTCACAGTTCTTCTATCAGAGTTATTACGAACTTTAGATACCAGAGAGGGGAAAAGTAATAAATAAAGTAAGGGATGTTTTCAATAGAATCAAAGTATGTCTTACATGTAAAGGAAAGAAAACTAACATTTGCTTAGTGCCAACCATTTGCTCAGCATTTATTTGTTACAGCCATTTTGAGGATGGTGTGTCCTATATTCCACTCATGCTTCTGGGGATTTATTTTTAAAGAAAACTCTCATTGTGATACAAAAACATAAAAGCTGACCTTCTCTAACATTAACAACTAGAATGACTAAAGGTGGCAACAGAAATCCGGAGTGTTGTTACTGTCTCTGCAAAGTCCTACTCCATTAGACAACTGAAATTCAGAAAACATGTATAAACCACTATGACATAATGCTAAAAGGAAAATCAAACAGAAAATCATATATGATTTGTAAAATCACAGGTAGAAAAGTCAATTCATTGGAAAACACATATGTCACATTCAAATTAAATCATCACCTCCCATTTTCCACTTATACACATATCTTCAGAAAATCTTTTTACTATTGTTTTCAAGGCATTTCATGTACATTTTATTACCCTGTATTTCACAACTTAAAATTAATCTCCCTTTCAGGTTGCAGATTCTTAAATGCCTTGTGGCAAACAGACCTCACTAGAAAGTAAATCAAAGTATTATGATAAAGAACCTTAGTCAGTAATGAGATAAGGAGAATATAAAACAATTTTGAGATAAATGTATAGTACACGTGTGACTATGTACACACATACACATTCTTTGGGTGAGGAAATAATTCGGCATAAGCAGTGTATATATGTATTTATTCCTGAATAAAATTTAGATTAGTTTGACTACATCTGTTATTAATTTTTTTTTAATTTTTTTTTGAGGAAGATTGGCCCTAAGCTAACATCTCTTGCCAATCTTGCTCCTTTTTCCCTTTTTTCTCCCCAAAGCCCCAGTAGATAGTTGTATGTCATAGCTGTAGATACTTCTAGTTGCTCTATGTGGGATGCCGCCTCAGCATGGCTTGATGAGCGATGCATAGGTCCGCACCCAGGATCCGAAGCGTCGAACCCCGGGCTGCCAAAGCGGAGCACACAAACTCAACTGCTACACCACACGGCCGGCCTCATCTGTTATTAATTTTAAATATTTGGTTTTAGTATTTTAAATGTTTAATTTTTTACTAATTAATATTTTCAATCAATATCTATTTTCTACCACTAAATCATATACACTTTACATAATACATTTTGTAATATTTAATCCTCACACAGCCTTTTGAAGTCAACACTATTAATACTCCAGTTTCACAGATAAGAAAAATAAAGCACAGAGAGTTTTAGTGATTTGCTCAAGGTCACACAGGCAATAAATGGCAGAGCTAGACTTGAACCCAAGTGTTTATGTGTTCATCATTATGCTACACTGTCACTTGGAAGCATTGTAACGCGTGGTTCTTGCCCACAAGAAGCTTAGTTCCTCTTTGGGGAAGAAGACATATATAAATCAATTAGAGAGCAATTCTAGAAATTAACTAATATATTATGAGGCATAAAAGCCCCGCTATATTGATATTAAACTTAGGACCACATCACTCTTACGAAAAATCTCTAGTTCTCGAAGTCAATAAACAAAATAGTGGGGTAAGGGAAAGAAAGAGGAAATTATGGCTTGGGTGAAATCAGTAGAGCTACCCTTATGATCTGAGTGATAATGGAGGTCTCCACAAGCCCAGTAATCTAAGTCCCAAGATCTGACATGGTGCTGTCAGACCTACCTGATGTGAAATTCCCACCACTAATCACTTTTTTTAATAAGAAAGAAAAAGCAGAACTGTTTTCTACAGGAGCCCAATATGACATTGAGGAAGACAGTCATGGCAGGGGTTAAAATGTCTGACGTTAATATATTAGCAGTGGTGAGAACATTAGCCTGGTTTAGTTGATCAGATTAGCTCACAGTCACCTTGGAAAATACAGGAGAGCAGAGACCTAAGGAGATATATGTTCAGAGGTGGAAAAGGATAGAACATGAAGCCCTGCAAGGGTGAGCAGCATACAGTGTGATACCCTATGGCACACAGATCGAGACACAGAGTCTAGGTTTCTATTAAAAGTGAAGGTGAAGCAGAATTTCTATAGATTTTTCCCATCTAGCAGTTTTGCTTGGTTTCAGCCATCTAATAACACAGTATATTCCAACTACGCTTTAAAGATAGATAATTTGGTAAATTCCACTTTAGCTTAGTTGAATTATTTTATTTTTTATTTTTTTGTGTGTGAGGAGATCAGCCCTGAGATAACATCTGCCAATCCTCCTCTTTTTTTTTTGCTGAGGAAGACTGGCCCTGGGCTAACATCCGTGCCCATTTTCCTCCACTTTATATGGGATGCCGCCACAGCATGGCCTGAAAAGCGGTGCATCAGTGCGCGCCCGGGATCCGAACCTGGCTGCCAACAGCGGAGCGCACGCACTTAACTGCTATGCCATGGGGCCGGCCCCATTCCTTTTTTTTTTCGCTTATAATTAATGGTTTTAGATGCTGTATTCTGATACTGGTTTCCCTAAGTACAGAGTACTTAGTTCATCCGAACCGGTGAACCCCGGGCACCGCAGCGGAGTGTGTGCACTTAACCGCTTGCGCCACCCAGCCGGCCCCAAAGAATTATTTTAGTCAAGCACTTCAGTACGTGATTCCCAGTCAGTTATTTACATCCCATGGCTAATCATTTTCAGACACAATAAAGTCATTTTTAGTATAGTAACTTGTTTGAAACAGCTTCTTGTTTTATATGTTTCCAGAAGGGAATATATGCATTCATGTATAAGAGAGAAGGAGGATTATTTGTTTTAAATTGCACAACAACAACAAAAAAACATTTTGAAAATTTCACATCGGAGCCACTTCAATGCTCTGTTTTCTGCATTGTTTACTTCTGTGGAAAGATGTCATGTCTGTCATAGGTAGAGAGGTAATTTTAATGTTTGGATGTTTAACCTCTTTACTCTGTACTTAGGGAAACCAGTATCAGAATACAGCATCTAAAACCATTAATTATAAGCGAAAAAAAAAAGGAATGGGGCCGGCCCCATGGCATAGCAGTTAAGTGCGTGCGCTCTGCTGTTGGCAGCCAGGTTCGGATCCCGGGCGCGCACTGATGCACCGCTTTTCAGGCCATGCTGTGCCAGGGTCCCATATAAAGTGGAGGAAGATGGGCATGGATGTTAACTCAGGGCCAGTCTTCCTCAGCAAAAAAAAAAAAAAAAAAAAAGAGGAGGATTGGCATGGATGTTAGCTCAGGGCTGATCTTCCTCAAAAAAAAAAAAGAAAAAAAGGAACGAAGACACATTTACCTGAACCTCAGCCCTACTAAATAAAATGGAGCACTTCTAGTGAAACTTTTTTCCTTAGCACTTAACCTTTTATTTCTCAATGGAAAACAATAGTTATTAAAATGCTTAAAACAATTTTTTTTCTCCTCTGTGTGGAAAATACTGCTACATGATATATTTTCAGATGTGCTACTAGTTATTTGATCTGACCTAGACTAAGGTGAGCCCATACACTCTATCCAAGGTATATGTATCACTCTTCTGATTTACTTTTTAGAGCAATACTCTAGATTCTATTGCAATTAGTACAGGACACCAATATTTTCCTTAGGACACCAGAACAACCCAGAGACTGGCCAAGGAAATAACTGGCATTTGTATAACCTAACATGCAGAAGCTTCCTGGCCTATGTTTTTGTAGGACCTTCTGTGGCATCCCAGGGTCCAGAAGCAAGGAAAGAACTAGTGAAGAATCAAAAAAATGGACAAGTTAAGCCTAGGTATGCCTCATTTCCCTAACTGCAATTCTTAGAGCATAGACAGGGAACGCTGAGAATTCCAGAGGCTCCAAAGCTTTAGAAATTAAGGAAAAGTCACGTTAAATAGGCCCAGAGCACAGAAATAGTAGCCAGCATCTACACAATTTAGATAATTCTTTACAAAAGTCAGAGCCATGTGTTATGGACTGAATTGTGTCCCCTAAAATTCATATGTTGATGACCTAACACCAAATGTGATGGTATTTTGATGTAGTAATTAATAAGGAAGTAATTCATGATTAAATGAGGTCATAAGGGTAGGGCCATAGGATTAGCGTCCTTACAAGGAGAGACACCAGAGAGATCCCTCTCTCTCTGCACCACATAAGGACACAGTGAGAAGGTGGCTCTCCACAAGCCAGAAAAAGAGGCTTCACCGGAAACCAGTTCTCCTAGACCTTATCTGGGACTGCTCGCCTACAGAACTGTGAGAAAACAAATTTCTGTGGTCTATGCCTCCAAGTCTGTAGTATTTCATTACAGCAGCCCAAGTAGGAAACCAGGAAACTGTTTATACATGATTTCTGACAAATAGAAAAGTGAATGACTGAAGTGTTAGTATTCAAAGATATGCCACACATTGAGAAGATTTTTATATAAAATGGGCTACATAATAACAGGACTATGAAACAAACAGGCTTAATTTTAGTAATTGATTTTAAAGATTGCTGAAGCCATAGAATTGTTAGTTCAATTACATTTAAAAATTCAAATACCATTCTTTGGAGTATGGAATTAACTCTTTTAAACGGTTGATATGAGTCCATGAGTGAAATATCTCACTTTGCTGCACAAATCACACAAAGTTCAGTGTAACGTTTCCATAATTTTGCTACATGCAAGAGTAGTTCTATAAAGAGCATTTCCTAGTTTTATTTTGATACATAATTGATGTATATTGCCTATTACACTTGCTTTTATAAATGATCCAGAGACATAGAACTGATGATAATTTCTCAAGTAATACGTATGATTCTCAAGAACTAACAGCAGGCAAAGCCATTTTATCTTTTGTATTAACTTTCCAGAGTTCATTATCAGTCATTTAGAATTAATTCAGATAACTTGAAATTAACAAACTTTTTAATTACATTCAGTATAAACTAATGAGGTTTAATCCAAAACAGAGAAACATATCATTCAAGTAAGTACTATCTCAAGGAATTTAGGGACATGGTGACTTATTGATCTGTTATTTTCCATATCCTCATTCTTGATTTTAACACTTAGACAAAAATTAGGTTGGTTTGTTTGGTTAATTGATACATTCATTAAGAATTTTAATGAAGAGGCAATGGCACAGTGGAAAAAATCAGAATTTTGGAGATTTGACAGTAAGAGAAACTTGAATTTGAAACTTACCTCTATCTACTCCATACTACCTTTGTGAGCTTTGGCATGTCACTGAATCTCTCAGAGCCTGAGAATCCACAGTAAATCTTGAACCACAGTAAATCTTGGTGAAGGTAGCAGTTTTTTGTCTCTTGCCCTACCTTGTCACCAATTTCCAATCACATACAGATGAGTCTACTGTCACACAAAGTCTTGTAATAATCTTATTGTTATTTTAAATCCTTTAACCTAAAGCAAACATGGTATTTTTTTAACCACTAATAATACCATTGCAAACCAAATGTTGATCATATTTTTTAAATGACTGTTACATTGTGTATACAAACATAAAAGATATATTTTTACTTTATTTTACAAATTCATATAGCACTTACTATGTGTCAGGATCTAAGCACCTTCCAATATTAATTCAATTAATTCTAGGATACTAATGCAAATTCTGAAGAAGATAAATTATTTGAGATAATCAGAAAACTGCAGAGTGAGTTGATGACAGGGAATATTAATAGGAGTGTAGATCAAATATATCAATAGCTAATTATACTCGACTTGTGTCTTCCTCTAGAGTCTTCAATCAGTGCAAGCAAATACGCCTCATGTTTCAATATTTTTCTTCCAATTTCTCTCTCTGTTCACTGGTTCTCCTAGTAGTAAACAGTGGTAAATTTCACCAATTTTTGTACTCTAACTCAAATGAAGGCATTGGGAAGGATGGACTCTGTCTTTTACTAAATAGGCAACTGAGTTGATTTAAGTCTTAGTATTTGTGAGTGCCACACTGGAAGAGTTTTGTTCTTCATGTAATTCAGAGCCCAGGGAAATGCCTGGCATATAGTCTCTTCTTAACATATACTAATTCAGTCAATGAATCAGGTTTTTCCCAAGTAACTGGATAATCTTTTCAGTAAAAAGATTATTTGAAATTGGCAAAAGTCTTTTTGAAAAATGAAATCTTTTTCTTCACTAAATTTCCAACTAACTTGGTAAGAAGCAAGTCAGGAAGCAAGCTATGCTTCTGTCTCTTCAATATCTGAAATAAAATTATTTTTAGATTTTCTTAAACCTTATTTATATTTATTGTGAATAGTAGCTACCCTAAATTAACTGTCTACTCTTGCAAAATAAAAAAGACTGGCTGGGTGTCTACTTTTCTGGGGACTAAACAGCTATTGAAGTTATCAAATAAGTTTCCATTACTTTGTTCTTTAGTGTTCTTTTGACGCAAACTAATAATATTCATTTTTCTTAGACGCAAAAATTATTTTTAAATAATTACACTAAGTAATTAAGTACCTTCTTTTGTCCAACATTTACTTATGTCCATTTTCTTTTATTCTTTTTCATTACTAAATCCATTTAAATTTAATATTTTTTATTGCACTTATAGTTACATAAATATTGGAGAATGGATTGTTATTCCCTTGACAGCCTTTTCTTAAAATTCTTTTTTTGTTCAAGGGAGTAAAATCAAATTAGCAAAGATCTTTGACCTCCAGTGATTCCAGGTAGGGACTGTAGGGAGGAAAACAATAAAATTATGAGACCAGTCCAAATGTTGGAAGCAGAAGTCAAAGTAAAAAGGAATCAAGACAAAGATTTCTGGTTTACCATTCTGCGCCTTGGGAATGTACCAAACAGACCGCGTCTAAGGCTAAAGCGTAAATCAATAAAAAACTAAGATGGGATCAAAGCACAAGCTGGATGACATCATCGCTTCAAACTGACTTGGAAAGAAAGAGGCAAAGGGGAAAAGGTAGAGGAAGAAGGAAGAGTAAAAAGAATATATCCACTGTCAGTATATCCTCCCTGAGTTGAAAATTTCAAGAAAATCACAACTCTGTGGATTCCACAGGGAATATGTTAGTATGTATAATAATAGAGTTTTCCAGATAACGGAAAGATAAATAAGCAAATATGTTGGATTTGAGTGTGAACTAAGAACAAATAGGTTCTACATGAGGGCATCAAGGTGTTTCCCATGAATAAAACTCCATATGCTTTTGGTAGATTTTGTGATGTATTTCAGCTTCTCAAAATTCTGTAGGCATAGATACTGGTTGTTTTCATTTGCTTGATGTGTAACATCACCAAAACTTGGTTTATGGTACGGAGAGAAATTATGGTGTTAGGTTTTGAATAGGACTGTTCCTTAGACCATCATTCTTTAATGCCAATTCAGAAGTTGGATTTGTCAAACCATATTGAGAAAAATGATTATATTATTGTATGTTAACTTACATAATAGTGTAATGGTTTAAGATTTGGCTCTAAAATCAAATCTAGATTCAAATCCTTTTTCTACCACTTACTATGTGATCTTGGGTAAGTAACTTAAACTCCCTGTTCTTCAACTTCCTCAGTTGTAAAATGGCATTAACAATTGTCCCTGCCACATACAGCTGTGTGAGAATTAAATTATTTTGACACATAAAATAATCGGAACAATGCCTGGCACATAGTAAGTATTCATAGTAAGTAATTATATAATTACTATTAATTAAAACATTCTTATTATATAAAATATTGGAATATAATTTTATGAAGTTTGGTAACTAACAGTAATAAAAAATTTTTTAAGTGAATAAAAAATGTTCACTAAGTACATAAACCTAAACTGAAGGCTTTTTAAGTAAAAAAAAAACCTATGAATTATGTAAAATCCTCAGGTCCAGACATCTTTAATAATACAAGGATTAAATTAATGCTGTTTTATAATGTAGACAGAAACATTGTAAACACTTCACCCCTTAGTGATAACCCTTAACCTACTATGGAACTTGGCAACACAAGTATATATATGTATGTGTGTGTGTATATATATGTATCCTGGAATTCATCTATCATCATTACTTGTTTGTAGTTCATCATTACTTAATTGTAACTTCGTCCTATAGTTTATATCGAATCCAACCCCTAAAATGGAAGAAGCTAAAGGACAAAGTTTGGAGGAAGACTTTGAAGGACAGGCCACACATACGGGTAAGCAAAGCTAGAAGAAAAAAAATAATTATTAAACTAAAATTAAATCTAGAGATTTCTAATGTTCTTATGGCCACTATCCAATATGAAATTTAAGTAATATCTTTGAATGGTTTAATAGAATCATCTAAAAAATATTTGAGTGGTAAATTAATTTGAAATCAAATACTCTTGGGGCCGACCCTGTGGCTTGGTGGTTAAGTGCACGCGCTGCAATGCTGGCGGCCCGGGTTCGGATCCCGGGTGCGCATCGAGGCACCGCTTCTCCGTCCATCCTGAGGCCGAGTCCCACATACAGCAACTAGAAGGATGTGCAGCTATGACATGCAACTATCTGCTGGGGCTTTGGGGGGAAAAAATA